GTCATCCCATGAGATGGGCATGGTTCAAGCACTGCTTGAAACTTCAGCCATATTTCCTAAATTGTTTCATCCCCTACCAGTTTGAACGTTAGGAGGTTGTCCTTAAGGTTCAACAGTTTCAAGAGAGGGTGATCTGTTTCATACCCATAATGATCCTTCATATCCATGTTTCTACTTCAATACACAAACAAGCAAAACGAAACTAGAAGTGAAGTAAGTGAACTACAATTAATAAGAACAAAAATTTTACTAATTTAAGAATTCTCAAATAACACCACTCCCCGGTAGCAGCACCATTTTGATGATTGCGTAATCAAGACACAACTTCCAATGCAAGTGTCTACGATCGTACAATAGTAAAGTAACCCAACCAAGGGTTGGGATCGTTCCCACAGGGAGTGGTTTTGAGAATTAGTAGAAAAATAAAATTTAGTTCTGATTAGTCATAGCTAAAGACATTGTCGAATATAAATATACTAAATCAAAGGGGTGACGCAAGCGTCATTTATCAATGGGGATTTTGTCACAAGCAAAAACAGCAAAAATACAAAGAGTACTAATCAGGGAGATGGGGTTCTTGGGATGTGATAGGAATACGGTAAAAATGAAACTATTGGTACATGCTTTTGACAATAAATTTGTTGAATATTTGTGACTAGGCTAGACTATAGTGGGGGTAAATTCTCTCTCGAGCAACTTACCCCGAATCAAATGGGTTCCTATCGGACACCCACTTTCCGCATGAAGAACAGTCTCCGCCTTAGCCCACTCACTCTCTAGAGCTGAGTATGTGGGAGAAGGACTAGGGTTCACTCTCTCGAGCTGAACCTCATGTCGACCCAATCCCACCGGTTATCAATTTAGTAGTCTTAGTTTTCGACCTCTCTCTCGAGCAAACCGAAAACACAAAGGTGAAATCGTATTTGCAACTACAATTTCATTAAGTTCCACCATAACTACTAAACAAAATCACATCTAAACAACAAATAAATCATACAACAAGCAATACCCAACATATAATCTAACCCATATTCACAAAATCACAGCCCAAGAATTGGGGTTTTAGCTAGACATGTAAAAGAGATAGAAATTTATACCAATATGAGTTTGCATTCAAATAGGTATGAAGATTTAAGTCTTAAAAAAAGTCAAGAATGAAGAATCCACAAGACCCAAGTCCAATTTCTTGGAGTTGAAACCCTTTGAACCTTCAAGTTCTTCAAAACTCTCTCCAACCTATAACCTTCAAGTTATAATAATTATTTTCAGAATAATAATTCTCAATGAGTATTTCTTATTTTCAAAAATTTGTGCTGCGAAGGATCACTTGGTGAAGTTAGTCGAAATCGCCGATCAACTCGGCGATCCGCCCTTTAATCTAGTTCATCGTCGTCTTGGTTTAGCGTTCAGCATCGTTGTGTTTGGATCATTGGGCGACATAGTACTGCTTCACGGAACTGCTCGGCGATACGCCAACTGCTCCTTTTAACCGCCGATTTGATCCTTTTCTTCAGGGCTCAATACACTGGAAAAAAAGGTGAGGATAACACCCTTTGGTGACTCACTGAACGGGTTCGGCGATTCTCAGATCTTCATTTCTTCATTCTTTCATCTACTTTTGTTCCTTTTTGCTAAGTAGTGTTCATTTTTTCCCTCAAACTTTAAATACCTGAAATTTAAGGGTTTTCATATGATATTGAGACAAAATATGCATTTGAGGACACTAATTCTATCAAAATATTACCCTAAATGAGTCCAATTTGTTGACTCATCAGACCACAGAGCCAATTTCAGGTCGTGGTTAGCTAAACGAGCCATCGTGAAGCCCGGGAAGAGGAAGAAGTGAACTTGAGTTTTATGCAGCTGATGACATAATTCTAAGTGAAGACCACAGAAGTAATGAAGGACCGTGGTCCCTGTCGTGGATCGTGGTGTTGCCTATAGAAAGGAACCAATAAGAAGATCTCAATGAGTCATAGTATGATTTAGCCCAAGTAAAGACCCCGGGCACCCAGACGGATCATGGTCATTATAACTGTCTGTTTTTTACCACGATCTGTTACAATTTTCCAGTACACAGGCTATGAAGAACCAATATTGTAATGCTTAAGTAAGGATCACAAAGGGCTTCACGGACCATGATGCCATTGATGTGTCGTCTGACCGTCTGTGAAGGGCTCCAACAATTCAGTTCTACTTCGGATAGGACTCTTTTTAGACTGATTATTTGACCAAGATGAGGAGTCTACAACCACACACCGTGGTGTGGCAGGATTAGGGGAAGAGCAAGGGGCCAGAGGAAGTGTAACACCCCGTAGCTTAGTAGGCCAAATAGGGCTAAGTTTGATGGGTCATGGGTTAGGGTCCCAGAAACATAGTTGCATACCACCACCCACGGTTGATCAGAACTCCCTGTGGGTCCACCCACGGCCCGTGGGCGTGGTCTCGTGGGTGAGGCAATGGTCAACTTGAGTCAGTTAAGTGAGGGGTAATATGGAACATTCTAAAATTAATTAGTTATTAAGTGACATCATTTTATACTAATTTACACTAACTATATAATGATTTAAGACCTCTAAATTAAGTCATCATCAAAACATACTTTTCCCCAAAATTCTCTCTCTAGAACTTCAAGGAAGAAGAAGGAAGTTGGAGCTTGGGGTGAAGGAGCAAGGTTTTTATTCTCAAATTCATTGGATTTCATTGATAAGGTATGGTAGTCCTTCATCCATGGATAGTTTTCATCCATGGAGTCCCATCAAAACATAATTTCAAAGATAGAAATTTCCCCAAAAGCTAAGGTTTAACGCCAAGTCATGGATTCCTTTCAAAAATGGTTCAAATGATTTAATTACCTTATATTATGATTGAATTGATGATTATTATTGTTTTTATGATGAAATCTCCCAAGAATCCATAAAATCCGCGTACTTCCCAATTATGATCTTGTGATGTAGGTTTGTTGGTAGAAGAAGGATATTATGAGATTATGCTTGTAGTAATTGAACTATTTGAATTGTGTTATTATCCATGTCCAATGTAGTAATTCTAAATGTGTTTATTGAATATAATCTTTGATCCTTGAGGGCTAAAAGTATGAGAATTATGCATGATTATCAGATTTATGTATGTATTTTAAGAACACTTTGAGAGTGAAGTGTCCATGATTATGATAATGTTGTTGTGTTGATTGAAAGGCTATTCTCATGAACACATAATGAACATGATGTGAAAAGTTTTCTCACATAATGATGATTCTAACGTTGAAAGACTTTCTCATCTATTGAATCTAAATGAAGACATGAACGGTGAAAGGTTATTCTCATGCATGATCTAAGAGCTATCCTAATGAACTCTTTTGGATTGATTGTCAAGGACATCCTTCCATAAGTCATGAATCTAGTTAGGACTTAAGAAAGTATTCTGTGGGAATTATGTCTATCACCGAGTGGATATTGATATAAGATAGAAACCCTCACGTGAGTTGAGCCTAGATTTGTAGTAGCAATCTATTGAGATGGATGCCCTCATGTGAGTTGAGCCCGGGTATCTAGTCACAATCTGCTTGTCCCATAACTACGTGCCCCGGTAGGTTATTTAACTATTGGATCCTCCTATGCTAAAATAATGGTTCTACCTTAGGCAAGTAGGACAACCCTTTTGGGAGAGGGTAACACCAGATTCCATGTTAAGTTCACATGGTCTATGTCGATTAAGGCTAATAATCACAAGGTCAAGTCTAGTATGAACTATGGCTACTCAAGAAGCTTTACTTAGTTTGGGTGAGAGTATGTGATCTTATTCATGCATTGCACAAGTATGCTTTGAGTGTAGTTATGGTATGTTACTCTTATGTTATGGGGATTTATGTAATGAATATGATTATGATTACATTGTTAAGTAAGTTTGATATGAGGGCTACTTGTAATTATGTATGCTATCTTGGATTGTTGCTATAAGTTGCTTTCCTTGATATGATTGGCTAAAGGTGAATGTTCCCTTGTGTATAGAAATAAGCTAAGAATAAGATCAAATGGTAAAGTTGAATGAGGACCTAAAGTAACTTGCTTAGCATGGGTGAGATTATTGGGTCTTATCTATGCATTGCACAAGCTTGCCTTGAGGTGGCTCATGAAGTGTTTCTCTTATGTTATGCTAAAACTAGATTACATTGACTATGTCTATGTCAATGTTGTTATATCTTATGTCCATAGCCTATGTCTTATTATGATGTCTCTTATGCTTATGACATGTTTTTGAACTATCTTCAAAATGATGGTTAAACTTAGAAAAGTGCATGCATTCAACAAAAATGTCTCTTTTAGCATGTTATCAATGTTTTTATGCATGGCTATAATACTTAGTGCATTTTTGTACTAACCCATATTTTACTACATTTTCCACAAGTGTAGGGTCCAGTTCTCAAGGTGGTGCCCATTGTGGCTAAAGCTTAGAATTGATCATTCCTCATAACTTGTTGGTGAGTCCTCATGATTCGAGGGCGGATGCTTTTACTTAGTAGTTTCTTTCTCGTATTTCCTTTTTGGACTAAGTTGTATGGGCTGTGTCCCTATTTGATTCAATTATTGTAATAGATGGCTATATTGAGACAAGTCTATACTTCTTCTTTGCTTTTATGAAAAACTTTTTAAGACTTGAAATGTGTTTCTACTCTTATTTTTCTAAAACTTTATGTTATGATATGCTAAGTGGTTTACATTGTGCCTTTTGGGGTATTATGTGCCTTCTTATATCTAGGGGGTACCCCTAGGTCATGACGAACTTGGTAATTAGAGCACAAGATTTAGAATGATTCTAGGATGATGTCTCATAAGCTACATCTAGTAGAGTCTTGTTTATCATGTAAAGCGTGCCACATTTATGAATGAGAGGATATAAGATGTTTAGAAAGCTACACTTCTTTCATTATTCTTATGTTGTGGCATCGAGTGTAGCTATATTAAGTACCCCTCCTAATCCTTCCCTTGTGTAATCAGGATATGAATACACGAAGGGCTAACGCTAGAAGAATAGAGGGTGACAATGTGAATGAAGAAGCTCCTCAGGCTAATCAAGCTCCTCAAGCTAATAAAGCTCCGATTAATCCTTCAGCTATGTCGGATATGGAGGTTAGGTCATCTTTTTAAATGTTGGTCCAAGAAATGATGACTCAAGATCAAGCTATAACAACTCAAGCTCAAGCGGTGAGGGCTCATGCCAATAGAGATATTGTGACACATGTGAATTCGGCTGCTTCAACGGTTAGGGATTTTGATAGAATGAACCCTCCCGAGTTTCATGGCTCCAAAGTGGAAGAGGACCCTCAAGAGTTTGTGGATGAGGTTTATAAAATACTTGCTATTATGGGGGTGACTTCGGTAAAGAAAGTGGAGTTAGCCACTTACCAATTGAAAAGTGTTGCACAGGTATGGTATAATCAATGGATGAACAATAGGCCGGTACGAGCGTGTCCAATAGTGGGATGTGTTCAAACTAGCATTTATTGAGAGGTTCTTTTCCCAAGAGTTGAGGGAAGATAAGGTGTAAGAATTCATTAACCTTAGGTAAGGTAGCATGAGTGTTAAAGGAGTATGCCTTGAAATTTACCCAACTATCCAAGTATACTCCATCTATGGTGGCGGATTCAAGGGGTGAGATGAGTAGGTTTTTCACGGGTGTGTCCATCTTGGTAGTAAAAGAATGTCATTCGGTAATTCTCCATCCTGATACTGATAACTGACGTCTTATGGTGCATTCCCAATAAATTGAGGAATTGAGGCTTAAGAAGAAGAAAGTGAGGTGAAGAGAGCTAGGACCGGTGATGGGAACTTCTCCAATGCTAGGTTCGATAAACAAAGGTTTTCCAACCAAGGTTCCTCAAATGCTTCCCTAAGGGTCAACAAGGATAGGGTTTCTAACCCTAAACCTCAAGGAGGAAATGGAGGCGGTTCCTCTTTTGAAGGATCTACATATGCCGAATGTGGGAAGAACATGCGGGTAAGTGCCTAGCCGGCACAAATGGGTGCTTTGGGTGTAGAAAGAGTGGTCACAACATGAGAGATTTCCCGAGGCTCATGGCTAAAGGGAGAGAGGCCAAGCAAGCTTATCTTAGTGGTCCGCATCCCAATGCTCCAAAGCACCGTCGCTTCTATGCACTCTGGTCTAGAAAGGACCAAGAATGCTCCCAGGATGAAGACACCGATATGTTGATAGTTTCCATATAGATGTACAGTTTTATTATATCAAGATGCTACTTGCTAGACTTTAATGTTATCCTTGTTAGGGTTTGGATGCATTGTTGTTAGACCTCTATTGATTTTAGAATTCGATATGGTTATTATGTGTTTTTATTATGTCGGTTGGGATTGCTTGAAAGAAGTGGTACTTGAGGAATTAGTAGGGGTTTCCTCCCAAGGGGGATATGGTGTGCTTAGATAGCAAGGTTGTGGAGTGTCCCGATATCCTCATCTCTTTCTTCTACTCCTACTCTAGCTTGTGACAAAGAGTTCCTCTTAGCTTGCGTTATGTTTTTGAGTCATGTGTGATTTATGTGCTTCCATGATTTCCTTACGATATGCATGTTCTTGAGAAATTCATGTTTAGTAAGAAAATGAGTTATCATGATTTATGATCCTCATGTTATTGTGCATTTAGTATGAGTTATCTATTTGACTTTATAAGATGAATCGATGAACATGCCTTATATGTATAAGCTTTTCTTGAGTAGTTGGCCTAATGGTTTTATGGATTGTGTTGAGTATTCTTTTAGTTGGAGAAGGTAGTTCCTCCTATGAATATGAGAAATGTTGAGTTTTCGTGCATAATGGGTTGTTAGATCTAGTTCCTACTTTCTTTTGATGCATTGATTATGTTGAGATGGAGCTGATGTTTCCTCCTTTGAATTGTGCATTATTATGATGTTGCATGCATGATGGGCTTCTAGTCTTGAATCTTTACTTTCATAAGGTGTCTAGATCGTTATTCGAGGATGAATGTTCCCAAGGGGGAGCTATTGTAACACCTTGTAGCTTAGTAGGCCAAATAGGGCTAAGTTTGACGGGTCATGGGTCAGGGTTCCAGAAACATAGTTGCAGACCACCACCCACGGTTGACCAGCATGCCCCGTGGGTCCACCCATGGCCCATGGGCATGATCTCGTGGGTGATGCAGTGGTCAACTTTAATTGGTTAAGTGAGGGGTAATATGGAAGTTTCCAGAATTAATTAGTTATTAAGTGACGTCAATTTATACTAATTTAGACTAACTATATAATGATTTAATACCTCTAATTTAAGTCATCTTCCTCATAATTCTAAAATCCCAAATAAAAACCTACTTTTCCCCAACATTCTCTCTCTAGAACTTCAAGGAAGAAGAAGAAGAAAGTTGGAGCTAAGGGTAAATGAGCAAGGTTTTTCTTCTCAAATTCAGTGGATTTCATTGCTAAGGTATGATAGTCCTTCATCCATGGATAGTTTTCATCCATGGAGTCCCTTCAAAACACAATTTCAAAGATAAAAATTTCCCCAAAAGCTAGGGTTTGACTCCAAGTCATGGATTCCTTTCAAAAATGATTCAAATAATTTAATTACCTTATATTATGATTGAATTGATGATTATTATGGTTTTTATGATTAAATCTCCCAAGAATCCATGAAATCCCTCTACTTACCAATTATGATCTTGTGATTTGGGCTTCTTTTTTTTTTATAGAAGACGAATATTACTCCCTCCGTTTCACAAAGAATGACCTGGTTTGACTTGGCACAAAGTTTAAGTAAATAAAGAAGACTTTTAAATCTTGTGGTCCTAAATTAAAGTTATGTCAAATGTACAAAATTGCCCTTAATCTTGTGGTCTTAAACATGCCACGTGGAAAGCAAAAAGTAAAATGTTACCAAAAAAGGAAAGAGGTCATTCATTTTGAGACTGACTAAAAAGGAAAGGAGGTCATTCTTTGTGAAACGGAGGGAGTATGAGATTATGCTTGTAGTAATTGAACTATTTGAATTGTGTTATTATGCATGTCTGATGTAGTAATTCTAGATGTGTTGATTGAATATGATCATTGATCCTTGAGGGGTAAAAGTATAATAATTATACATGATTATGAGATTTATGTATGTGCTTTAAGAACTCTTTGAGAGTGAAGTGTCCATGATTATGATAATGTTGTTGTGTTGATTGAAAAGCTATCCTCATGAACACATAATGAACATGATGTGAAAGGTTTTCTAACATAATGATGATTCTAAGGTTGGAAGGCTTTCTCACCTATTGAATCTAAATGAATACATGGACGGTGAATGGTTATTCTCACGCATGATCTAAGAGCTATCCTAATGAACTCTTTTGGATTGATTGTCAAGGACATCCTTCAATAAGACATGAATCCAGTTAGGACTTAAGAAAGTATTCCATGGGAATTATGCCTAGCACCGAGTGGATATTGATAAGAGATGGAAACCCTCACGTGAGTTGACCCTGCATTTCTAGGAGCAATCTCTTGAGATGGATGCCCTCATGTTAGTTGAGCCCGGGTATCTAGTAACAATCTTCTTATCCCATAACTACGTGCCCCCATATGTTATTTATCTATTGGATCCTCCTAAGCTAAAATAATGGGTAACACCGGATTCCATGTTAAGCTCACATGGTCTATGTCGGTTAAGGCTAATTCTCACATGGTCAAGTCTAGTATGAACTATGGCTACTCAAAAAGCTTTTCTTAGTATGGGTGAGAGTATGGGATCTTATTCATGCATTGAACAAGTATGCTTTGAGGGTAGTTATGGTATGTTACTCTTATGTTATGGTGATTTATGTAATGAATAAGCTTATGACTACATTGTTAAATAAGTTTGATATGAGGGCAACTTTTAATGATGTATGCTAACTTGGATTGTTTCTATAAGTTGCTTTCCTTGATATGATTGACTAAAAGTGAATGTTCCCTTGTCTATGAGAAATAAGCTAATAATGAGACCAAAAGATGGTAAACATGAATGAGGATCTAAAGTGACTTTCTTAGCATGGGTGGGATTATAAGGTCTTATCCATGCATTTCACAAGGTTGCCTTGAGGTGGCTCATGAAATGTTTCTCTTATGTTATGCTAAATCTATATTGCATTGACTATGTCTATGTCTATGTTGGTATCTCTTAAGCTCATAGCCTTTGTCTTTTTATGATGTCTCTTATGCTTATGATTTATGTTTTGCAACTATCTTCAAAATGATGGTTTAACTTAGCAAAGTGCATTCATTCAACTAAAATGTCCCTTTTAGCACGTTTTCAATGTTTTTATACATGGTTATCATACTTAGTGCATTTTTGTACTAACCCATATTTTCCTACATTTTCCCCAAGTGTAGGGTCCGGTACTTCAGGTGGTCCCCATTGCGGCTAAAGATTGTATCTGATCATTCCTCCTAGCTTGTTGATAAGTCCTCATGATTCGAGGATGGATGTTTTTACTTAGTAGTTTCATTCTCGTATTTCCTTTTTGTACTAAGTTGTATGGATTGTGTCCCTATTTGATTCAAGTATTGTAATAGATGGCTATATTGAGACAAGTCTAGACTTCCACTTTGCTTTTATGAAAAACTTGTTGATACTTGAAATGTGTTTTTTTTTTATTGTTCTATTACTTTATGTTATGATATGCTAAGTGGCTTACATGGTGCCTTTCGGGGTATTATGTTTGATATAACCTTAGGCATGACTTGGTTGTCTCCCCATTATTCTGTGTTAATTGTAATACTAAATTTGTGACTCTAGAGATCCTCGGTAGGGAAAAGATAGAGCGGAAAGGGGTGTACAAGACTAAGCCAGCTAAGGTCATATCGTCCATTCAGGATAAGAAACTTGTGGGGCAGGGATGGTTTGTATTTTTTGCTCATATTCGGGATGTTGAGGTTGAATCTCCCTCTATTGAGTCTATTCATGTATTATCTTAATTTAAGGAAGTGTTTCCTACCGATTTGCCTAGTATGCCTCCGGATAGATATATAATTTTTTGCATTGACTTGGAACTCGGTACTCGCCCCATTTCCATCCCTCTTTATCGCATGGCTCCGGTAGAATCGAGAGAGCTTAAGGCTCAAATCCAGGAGCTTCTTGATAAATGT